GTGACAACATTAATCACAATGTTAAGAGAAATCATATAGTGAAACAGTTTATGGGCAAAGGCGGCAGTTCATGGAGTGGTTGTAAGTGTACTATTGAAACAGTGCAATCAAACATCATCATAATTAGGAATGCTCCAAAAGCACCAACAATACAAAAAGCACAACGCACGCCATGAAAGAAAAAGTGCTAGAGTTGAAGAGGCAGAATTACAGGGGAAAAGGTACATCTCATGTCGTCGAATGTTTAAATGGATAAAAGAGTTTTCAAAATGCAAGCTATCCCCACGAGGACTAACTCTTGAATGGTGTAATTGGCTGCATGCTTATAATTTGTTCTAGATTAGATTGCTTTTATAGCTAGGGGGTGGAAATATGATATGTGAGGTTAGGTTTTGACTTAGGTATGTGTAAAAAATACTTAGACATGATCTTACTTGTAAGTTTTATGTAAGTCTAAATTATAAGTCTGACTTATATTTAAAAAATAAAAGTTTTAATTTAGGCATAGTCTGTTTAAACATATTAAATATTTAATTTTAAAAAAATAACTAAAATAATATGATTTTATTATTAAAAATTATTAAAATAATACTTTTATTTATTTTATTTAAAATAAATAATTTGATATAGGCTGACCTATAAATTTATAAACTCGACATATATAAAAAAATTTATGACCTATTTTCTAAATTTTTTTTTAAAAAACTTAGGCTTTTTTTATTTGATTATTTATAATAGACTAAGATTAGCCTAATATAAATAAGATCGGAGAGCCCTATAGATCTAGTCTATTTATATCTCTATTAATATCTTTGTTTCCTTTACTTGGATTAAATTATAATATCTTAGTGGACGCTCTGTAATAAAAATTTATTGCTCTCGCGAGTCGCGAGAATAATAATTTTTCTTTTTTCAGCTTCTATTTTTGATTGGGGCTGATTGGATGCATATTGTAAAATGATAAGGGCTAAGGCCCAGCTTAAGTGGTAACATATGGTGCTTACGCTTGTCATGATTAAAATGCGAACTTCAATGTTTTATGATTGGATTGATTGGCTGGAGTGTGAAAAAAGCAATGATATTTGCATATGTAAATATTTGTTAACAATTTACAAAAAAAAAAAAAAAAATATTTGTTAACAAAAGAGAGTTATATTTATAAATTTTTTATTTACAAACTCTTACAATTTCGAGAGAACACTAGGTTACACTATATTCTCCCGTGGTATATAATGTAATTTGAAAAAATTTGTAAAAAAAAATTATTTTATAATAAAATAAAATAAAATTATTTCAATAAGCTTTTTATTTTATTTTTTACAAAATGATAAAAGGGTTTTATAATTCTCATTTAACATGGGAATTATAATTTTCCTACACAACATTCGATTTCCGTGCTGACATCGGTCTTATATATAATTTTTTCTAACACATGGATCCCACATGCTTTTTATCTCTACAACATGATATTTCAATTCTCCTTCAACATGAGAATTATAAAACCCAAGATAAAATGTAGAAAATACTGAAAAGAATTTGATGTATAAATATTTATTTTCAAATGAAAATAAAATATATGCAAATTGACACATAATTTTATACTAAGACGCTAGTAATAATTAGGATTGGCAATAATGACTACCATAACATTCATAATCACAATTTTTATGATGTACAATCAGTTGTATTTTATTTATTTGATCATGTTTTATTTCCTTCAGCCTTCTGTCACTGTGTAGCAGGTGATCTAAGCCAGAATCGTTGAAATGAGAGCCCAGCTCAACTATGATTCAGTGAAGCCCGTACTTAGTTTGGCCCTACTATGAAGGGTTAAATATAATGTTTTTGGTACATTTGAGGGAGACAAAAAAGAAAGAAAAAAGAAAGAAAGAGCTAAGGTAAAGAACGAAGATTTCGAGGCAAAGATACTTTTATTAAGTTCATCAAATCGAATAATTGGCACCGAGCCTTTAGGTTGCGTTTGGATTGACTTTTGTATAAAATCCTTTTTATCACTTCCTTATTTTAAAAGTACTTTCTATAAAAGTTACAGTTATTTAAAATTTTAAAAAAATATTTGATTTTTGAAAAAAATATTTGGCTTTTAACTTCTGCTTTTTTTAACAGTTAATATTTTTAGCTTCCGAAAAAAAGTAAATTTTTAGCTTTTTTTATGACTTCTGCTTTTTCTTTAAAAGCAGACATTCGAACAAACTTTTTTCGAGAAGGATTTTTTTTTCTTAAAAAAAAAAGCTCATCCAAACGGGCCCTTAGTGCCTGCTTTCGGTGCTGTAGAACATAAAAAAAGATGTTTTAATTTATAAAATTATTTTCGCATTTTATAGAAAACCTTTCATACAGTAGGAATTTTTTTTGATGTTATAAACATATTTTATGTGAGACCTGCATCTATTAAAAAAAAATTACTCAAAAAATTAAAGGATCACTGGTAAGAAAAAATAATTCTTATATAACATGAGAAAATATTTTTCTCTATAAACTTTTAGAAAATCTATAAATCTGATATATAATAAGAGAATAATATTTATCATATTATAAGAGATAAATTTTATCTCTTGTATATATATAAAAGTGTGTGAGACTCATATATTTTTTTTTCTCTCACTTCTCTTCAAATGAACCCATATATTTTTAGGAGTATAGAGAAGATAAAATTATTTTGAATAACATGAGAAATATATAAATAAAAAAAGTATTTATCTTTTTAAAAAATAAAATATTATATCATCTTAAGTAAAATGATAGTATTTTATTTAATATTTATATTAAAAAATTCATTAATGATCTCTTATTCTCACAATAATCTTTCATTGCGTGATAAGTCTCTTTCACCATAAAAATAATTATTTTATTTAAAAGTACAAATACTTTTTAGGATGATAATTATGATTAACTCAACACAACAAGATACATTACAAATATGAATACATTTAATGCAAATTTGATATGATATGAATGATCTCCTAATTTCAAAGCGTGTAGCTTATTATATAAGTTGACATAACATCATCAATATTAAATTATTTCACTTATTATGTGAATTAATACAACATGATAACAGTAAATAACCTCTATATATATATATATATATATATATATATATATATATATATATATATATGTTACCAATGCCATATTAACATGATAGAATATGATACAAATAATCTGTAAAAAGAGTAACAGAGGTTAATTTTATGTTTACGGATTGACATATGACACAATATAAATTCTTTCATGTTAATTTTTATCAACAAAAATACGACACATTAAAAAATGAGTTAACTCAAATACAAATTTTTCTTATTATGTTGATAATTGTCACCGCTGAAAAATAGTAAAATTTTGCCAAACGCTCATAATTCATAAGAAAACTAAAAGCATATCCTTGAGAACTTGGGTATTAAATATCACTATTTATTGTTTATCCGAAAATTTGTCGTTTCGTAAGAGCTTAGTCCGTCCCCGTAACAAAATAAAATAAAAGTTATTATAAAATACAAATATTCACAATTAAACGCTTTTGAAACAATTTATAAAAAAAATGAAGGACAAACTAGTTTTAAATGCATTTTATAAATTTTCATCAGATTCTATAACAAAATAAAAGAAAGGGAGAGTACGTAAAAAAATAAACTTTAAATTACACTTTTTATTATACAGTTTCACATCAAATTATTTATGAAAAAAATATTTACCATTTTAAATGACACAAAGTTATATTATTTTTAACAAAATTTTGGTGTGTTTTGTCATTTTCTCTTTTATATAAAATTAGGAAAGAAAAAACGGAAGAGAGAAAATGTAAAAATACACCCAAATAATGTAATTTTATTAAAAATGATATAATTTTATGATATTTAAAATGATAAATAGTTTTTTCATTATTTAAATGAATTTTTTTTAGAAAAACTATTTTTTAAATTTTTTTACGTATTTGTCAAATACATTACATTTATTTTGTAACAAACACCTCTAAAACTATTATTGTGAAAGTAATTAAAAAGTCTTCCCAATATATAGTATATTTAAAAATTAGCCTAACTATGCTTAGGCATATGTTTTTTTCGCTAAACCCCGGAAAAAGATGTGAAACTTTCGGCGCACTTCCTCCGTTCCGAATTCAACAATTATGGTATTTCCTTTTATTTTCACAGGCTAACCAATCATTTGGCCATGGCGATTCAAGGATTTTCAACCAACTATTTTTTGTTCTAAGAAATGCATATAAATAAGACAAGCAATGGCCCAAAAAGCAAAACTAGCAATAAAAAAATAAAATCAAATAATGTAATCAATGACCACACTTTTGTTGTTGTTGAAGATTAATGATCACACTTAAATGACTTCAAAATTGTTAAAAAGAAAAACACAGCTAGCTTCAAATATCTATTTTTTTATTATTAAATAATCTTATCAGCTTATTATTTCTAACCAAATTATCGTCACATCATCTCCATTTCAGACCGTTTCCTTTGAAAAAGTCTTCCATGTATAAAAATTGTAATCGGATTTTTTATTGCAAGCATGTTGGTATAAGAAATATATTAATAATTAATAGAAAAATAAATAATTTAATTATACGTAAGTTGCGATAAGAATAACACTAAACAAATATAAAAATATAAAAATGCACTGCCGATATTAACTCAAATACTGTTATCTTTTATCTGCGTTTTGACTTTTCGTCGTATGACTTATCACGCCAACATTACAATGTGGTAATGGTTCGCGCTTATCACTTATCACCTACTACTGTCAGTTAATTACTTAATTTTCATACTGGCCCACTCACCAAGTCTCGATCTCGCTCCCGTAACCTCGGTTTCTTACTCGCGAAGATTTTCCTGGAAAGAAATTCTCTCTCTAAATTACTCTACAGTGTCGTTTACTTAATTTTCTACGTTTTAACGCGTAATTCACACGTTCCTCTCTTTTATGTTCTCCGTCAAATCAAGAAATCACGATTCCTTCACCAGCCAAAAGCTCACTTCCTCTCTTTTTTCAAGTACCGTGGACCACACCTAAAAACGACACAGAGACACAGAGAATTAAGGATGTTGGAGCTGTGGCGCAAGCCACTCCAGATGTGCTTTGGTTGTGGACAAGGAGGGAACGATGATAGGCTCCTCTGGGACATGGACTTGAAGCCCCATGCTTCAGGGGACTATTCAATTGCAGTGGTACAAGCTAATTCAACCTTGGAAGACCAAGGACAAGTGTTTACCTCTCCCTCAGCAACTTTTGTTGGCGTATACGATGGTCATGGTGGACCTGAAGCTTCTTATTTCATCACCAACCATCTCTTCTCCTTCCTTCATGGTAAGAGAACATTATATATATTTTTTTCTATCCATGTATATGCTGCTTAATTCGTTTCATCGGATGAAGACTAAGACTAAGACTAAATCAACATTTGATTATTGACTTTTGACATATGATGTAAGTGATTCTTCTCTGTAACAGAGTTCGCTTCAGAGGAAGGTGGTTTGTCGGAGCAAGTGATAAAGAAGGCCTTTGATGCAACTGAAATGGAATTTTTGCATTTAGTGAAGCAATCGTGGACTGCACGGCCACAGATTGCTTCAGTGGGTTCGTGTTGTATTCTGGGAGCAATTTCAAACAGCGTTCTTTATATTGCTAATCTCGGTGATTCGAGGGCAGTTCTGGGTCGGAAAGCACTGGGAGGAGAGGTAAATTGTGCTCCTGTTGTGGCAGAGCGTTTGTCTACTGATTATAATGTTGGAGTGGAGGAGGTCAGAAAGGAGGTTGAGGCTCTTCACCCTGATGATGCAGACATTGTCGTTTACACTCGTGGATTTTGGCGAATCAAGGGCATTATTCAGGTACGTCTACATTGAGCTTTATCTATTGTCTTATTCCTGGAATTTTATTCTCCTTCCTCGGGTGTTTTGTTCAATTGCTTACGATTTGTATATGTATTTATTTACTTTCAATAATTGTCAGTATCTGTGTCCTGCTTCGGTTTGAGATTAATGAGTGACGTGAATTGATAAAATCAGCGAACTTCGGCTTCATTGGCACTATTTAAGTGATTTTGGTTTAAAAAATTACATATTGTTATAAAATAAAGGAGGAGAAATAAAGTAAGTAAAGTGAAGATGATAAAACATACGAAGATTAAAGGAATATCTCTCTAAAAATTATGAAAATATCACTGACTTATGAATTCATTCATCATCCCATCTTTTAAGTTATGTCCTTATTGTCATGCTATTCGGCACGAGCATCAGGGAATTGAGTTTTACTATGTATATCCTATCTTAGTTTAACCTTTTGGTCTTCATATAGTGTGATTAGTAGATTTTGATTGATAAGGAATACATTGTTGCTATCCAAAAAAAAAGAAAAAGGAATACGTTGTTCTAGCTTTCCTCCAAATTAATGATTCCACCTAAGCAAGCAGATCTTCTAAAAAGTGAATATTTATGCTCAATATTTTGTTCCGCTTCCATGTAATGAGACATGCTTTATCACCTGTTATTTGTGGCATGACGTTTGGCGGGGTTCAATTATGTGATTTTATGCTGGATTATTGTTTATGATTTATCTTGAAAGTAAAGTTGTCTGCATTTTATGACAATTATGAGTGGAGCGCGTTATCGTTTTCTTCATGGACCTTCATGGTCTGATTCCGTAACGAGTGATCACCTTATATTTTTGAAGAATTACCCTAAGAAAAAAATATATTTTTAAAGCCTTTCTTCCCCCAAAGTGCATGTGAGGAAATGTAGCAAGGATCATTATCTGTGATTCTTTGGTGGTCAAACTTGTGATGTAAATTTGATATATGCTTTCTTAAGATAGATGGTCATCAACTTTCACATGTTTTCCTGCTTAAACTCTGCTTCAGGAATCTAAAATTTTGAAATCGTTAAGGTTCCCCAATATTTAATCACGGTTGCTTGTGAAGTCCTTGGAAGCATAGTACGGTGATGTCAGGGGTGCAGATAGAAACGACAATATCATTTTTTGTATTCTTGTGAATCGGTATTTAACTATTTTAAGTCGACTAAATCAAAGTAACCTCTGTTAGCACAGTGCACAGCTACCTCATAAAAAAAAAGTCTGTATAGCTGTATAACTTAATAAGTGATATTCTTCTCCCCGGTCATTCTGGAACTTCTGTTTAGACTCTAAACTTGAAATAGTTGCATATCATCAATATTAATTGCTACTTCATCTCCTTGTGAATTTTGTAAATTTTTCAAAATAAGAAATTAACTGCGTTTCACCATATAGGTGTCAAGATCAATTGGAGATGTTTATCTAAAGAAACCCGAGTTTGACGATAATCCTCTGTTCCAACAATTAGTTTGTCCAGTACCTTTAAAGAGATCTGTAATGACAGCAGAACCATCCATATTGACGCGGAAATTGAAGGCAGAAGATTTGTTTTTGATATTTGCATCAGACGGACTTTGGGAACATTTAACTGATGAAGAGGCTGTTCAAATCATATTAAGAAGTCCAAGAACAGTAAGCATCCACCAAACAACCCCCCCTATTTATTATTATTATTTTTATTTTTTATGTTTTTTGGGTTTCCTCCTGTCTGTTCTGAATGGCTATAGTATGTGAATTTTGAGCCAAGTGGTGAGGGGCGTCGGTAATTGTGCTAGGTGGTATGTATAAAAAAAAAAAAAAAATAGTATGTGAATTTTGACTCCAGTTTTAGTACCCTTGTATTTGTTATTTAAGCCTCCCATTAGTTGAACATGTATCCTGCCTAGCTATACCTGACTTCCATGTAGCTGATAAATTTGACGTGTCACTAGCTGCTGGCTGAGAAATAGAGACTTTTTTCCTTCAAATTTCTCGACTTGTACTGTATGAAAATCTGTTTAAAAGATTTGAAATTCCATTGTAGGGGATAGCAAAACGATTGGTGAGAGCTGCAGTGGAAGAGGCTGCAAAGAAAAGAGAAATGAGATATGAGGACTTAAAGAGAATTGAGAAAGGTCAAAGGCGCCATTTCCATGATGATATTACAGTGATCGTTCTGTACCTCGATCATTCACGAGGTTCTCTAGATGGTAGCTCAAGACATCGAGGAGTCTATGATTGTATCAGTACTCCTGTTGATATCTTCTCTCTGAATGCACATGAAGCTGACCTGTTAACTGAATAAGCTACTAGCACTTGCGTCGCGACTGCCTTTTACCTAGAAATTGATCGCACATAAAATGATAGGTACGGGTTAGAAATTTCAATAATTAACGGTAGACGTTGTAAATGTGATGTAAACTGGCAATTGCAGATTGACGTTTGCTTACAATGTGGTGATGCAGAAGAGTTGGGCATCTTTCATTTGTTGACGTTTGCTACGGACTTTTTTTTTTGGTAAACTGTTACGGACTTACAATGGACTTACAACGGCGGTTGTGGTTGGATTTTGTTTTATAAATAAAGAAATAAATTTCAGCAAACTATTTAGTATTTACCGTATAAATGGAAAGAAAATAGACTTATGTAAATTGTAGCTAGGTATATTAACTCATGACATCGGTTATTATTTATCATCTTGATATATAATAAATATGCGGTACGTGAACACAAAAAAGAAGAGAAAATTCAAACATAAAAGAAAAGGTAATCATTGCTCATGAATAGGAATGCGAGTGGGGTGGGCCCGCTTATAGAGATTTACGACCTTATCAATATCATACCAGACTCGACTTATTATATATAGTCAAATAGAATAGACTCGAACTTTTAAAAAAGTTTATTTAGAAAGTAGGTTATAAGTTTTTTTTTTATATATACCGGGCCTTTAAACCTACAGGCGGCCTTTATCATTTTATTTATTTTAAATTAAATTAAATAATATTATTTATAGTAGTACCAAATGGTGATAGTCTACTTGGTATACGTGAGTTGAGTAGATAGTGGAAAGGCCTAGGTCCGATTCCCCACCAATACTACCTTTGAGTATAGATAAGATATGTACCAATCTCTACATTAGTATCAGAATCAATATTTAGCGCTGGAGGAAGAGTTATGAATGCTTATCGTTCTAGCTTGGCTAAAGATACCTTTCAAGCTTTAATATATGGGAAAAAGTATCTAATATTACTTTAGATAATTTCATCTAATGTCACCAAAACGATGCTGTTTTGGGGTTGAAAAATTAAAAAATTAGAATGATAAAGACTATTATAACCCTGAAATAAATAAAAATTACAAATACACCATGATTTCTGCCCTAAAACGATATCGTTTCGATGAAATTAGACAAAGTTATTTAAAGTAACATTATAAAAAATGAAACCCTTAATATGTTGTAGAGATTGGCTACGTAATAAGTATGATTTAAGACAAAACAAAAGGTATAATTTTTTATTTTATTTTTAATATTGTTTTTTGTTTTGCCAACTTATGTAACTTTTGAATTATATTTGCACGGGAAAAAAGATAATGAGAAGTTTTTGGCTACAACAAGAATCATGATGCATTTGTTGGATTCATGCAATTATTTTAATTTACATAATATGGATTGATTTGTTGGATCTGATGAAATATATGTTATTTAGTTTGAACATTTTGATTTAAATGCAGATTATGATAAGTTGTTGTTGTGATTCATGGTTTTGTTTGAACGTTGAAATTGTGATTTTTGTTTTAACAACAGAATTTGAGTATTTTGTGAAGTTAATTCATGTTCTGCTTGGATGTTAAAAATTAACAGGCTAACGGGCCAGATCAGACTTTTTGTTTTATAAATGGGTCAGGTCAGGCTAACAATTAGACTCGTACTTTGCTATCGGGCTAGGTTAAATTGAAATTTTTTGGCACATGTTAGAGCTTTTCGAGATAAAGCTCGCCTCAACCTAGCTCACTTTCACCCTAACTCGTGAAGCTTGATTTGTGTTAGAGAGATAAAAAATCATTAATGTAGTCTGACCTCTTGAAGTTTTGGGTTAAATTGATTCTTTACATGTCAGAGTTGGAGTGACCAAGTAGTCTCGAGTTCCATCTTTACCTTCCCCACTTTGTGGTAGAATTAAGTAAGTACAAGGTGAGTTCGATCCTCATCACCCCCGTTTTGTGAGAGAATTAAATAAGCACAAGATAAATAAAAAATAAATTCTGCTCTTTTATAAGAAAGAATGTATTAGAAAAATATAAAATCATTAATATAATTTCACCCCTAATGCAGATGAATTGATTGTTTATAATTTGGACCAAATCCATCCTTGATGCCCAATACTTCAAAGATTCCAAGAAATCAAAAAACAAAAGATAATAATAAAATATTTTATTAAAAATGAAATTGAAAATTATTATCCCAATAGTTTCGTGCAATGTTATTAAAACCGGCCCGGTTATTGACCCGGTCGAGGTATCGGGTCACTGGGTCGCTGGTTCAACCAGTAGGTCACTGGTTCAACCGCATGACCCGGTAATTATATGTAATTTTATAATTTATATTGAAAAATTATAAACATACTCAAATATCTAAAAAAATGATAAAAACTTCAAATATTTTAATACAAAAAATGATAAATCACATATTATTATCAAATAAAAAATCAAACAAAAATATAATGATCGTGATACGGGACTTTAGGTTCAAAAAATGACATCTCTAATTATAAATTAATTCAAAATTTTATGCATAGTACATAATTGAGATAATATTAGTGTTGTAGGTACATAACTTATGTAAGTCAATAAGTAAAAAAATATTCAAACATGGCTATTATGATTTTTTTTGAAAAAAACAAAAAATTGAAATTTTTTTTTTGAACCGGGCCGGGTCACCGGTTAACCCGACCGAGTCACCAATTTTTTATGAAAACCGGCCGGGTCGCACCGGGTCGCACCGGTTCTAATGCATGACCGGTCTGTTGCTTCAATCGGACCGGTTATATGACCGGTTTATCGGTTCCCAAGTCGACCTGGCCAAAGTTTCGTGGATCCTTGTCACTTTTGGGTTTGCCTTGGTAAGCTCAGAACAGAGAAACACGGGCATGATAAGTGTGCAGAGGTTAAAAGAAATGTAAGGAAAAACAAGAAAAATTCATGAAAATAGGATCTGAGCAATAGTCGAGACCTGCTTTAGCTTTATCCATTAACCTAAGTTGACCACTCCTTTATACCTAATGTTCTTGTTTATAGGATTTAGAGGAACAACCGACCCCAATAGGAAGAAAAAAATTCTCCTTCATTTTCCACACGCCAACGACCACTTCCCAAACTTGAACTCCTCGTCCAACCCAATTACGAATTAGTGCAAGAACCTAGACATTGATTATTAAAATCTAGGGAAAAGTTCACCAATGCCTCTGTAGTTTCCTCAAGAATCATTTATGTCCTGTGATTTTTTTTATCACATATGTCCCTATGGTTTGCAAAAGGGTATGTTTTTTATCACATATGTTCCTGTGGTTTTTTATATTTTACAAAGCACAGGGACATATGTGATACAAAAAAAATCACAGGGACATAAATAATTCTGAAGTAAATCACATGGATATTGGTGAACTTTTCTCTAAAATCTATTACATATAATTAATATGAATGAATTTTTTGTGTTAGTCGGCCTTTTAGATCCATCCGTGTTTATGCAATTATGCAGTTTTTGTTGAGTGAGAAGTAATTAAATAAAAATAAAAAGTTCAAATACTGAAAAGAAATTATGTCATATATTACCAGCTTCAAAATATATTTTAAATGTTGAACTTCAGTGTTATCCGGTATATTTTTATTCCTTACATAAACTGATAAAAGTATCTAAATACACAAAAAATTTCATATTAAACATGCTTCTCCTCATTTAGGTACTTTTTAGAATTAAGTAGAGATAACAAGAGGTGAACTCAATATAAGGTATTTCAAATTTTTAAGAAAATGAACATGCAAAAAACCCCCGTATATGACTTGTCACATTTGATATGGGTTCTTTGATCCTAAGAATCCAAAATTCACTCACACCCACTTTGATCCAACTCTAGCCAAAGATCATAAAAATGAATGTGTCTTAAGAAAATGTTTACAGAAATCCAGTTCCTATCTCGAGAATCAATTATCTAAAAGTTAAAAATTGTCAGATGAAAACATAATTTTATTGTAACCTAAGGAACAGGGCACCTTAGGCGTTGGGACCAAAATATCTATATTCTGATGGGGACACAACCAACATTTTTCGTGCTTTCATCTAGCTCTCGTAATCGGGTGTAACGGTCCCCGGTACGTACGTATGCGCACGGTCCCATCGGCCATCGTGGATGGTTATTTTATCAAATAAGCAGTTGGCCCAGCTGCCCTTCAGGCAGCTAGAGTTTAATGCCGATGATGTTCATTGCAATTTGCAAGGATAATGCCAAGTTACCATTAATGAGAATATGAGATGTCGAACGTGTAGCCATGAGTTTTGAACATTTTGAGTCATATTTTCTCCGCTTGATTACCTATATATCCAGCGAACAACAAAGAACAACCGTGGATGCATTCCATCCACATATACGGATATACCTCCCCACTTACTTTATAAAGCCTCGGAATAATATCCTCTTTTTTTGTGACCAATGAAATTGCTGCTAACTTGATCCCTGTGGCCTAAGAAGTCCAAATATAACAGCAGAGCTAGCCTGAAAGTCACGTTTTCACATTGTCGGTTATTAAGCAGTATTAGAGAGGTAGTATTTCACAGGGCACACAAAAAATAATTAAGAGGGAGAAGGAGGAAATTAAACGACAAGATGGGGATAGTGGAGGAAGCTCACAACGTGAGAGTATTGGGATCGGGTGATAAGTATATAGTTTTGGCTCACGGATTTGGCACGGATCAGTCTGTGTGGAAACACTTTGTACCTCATCTCATCGACGATTTTCGTGTCATTATCTTCGATAACATGGGTGCGGGTACCACTAACCCTGATTATTTCGATTTTGAGCGCTACTCGAGCTTAGAAGGCTATGCGTATGATTTGCTTGCCATTTTGGAAGAGCTACGCATTGATTCCTGCATCTTTGTTGGTCACTCTGTTTCAGCAATGATCGGTGCTGTTGCTTCTATTACTCGCCCCGATCTCTTCGCCAAGCTCATCATGGTTTCTGCTTCCCCCAGGTAATTAATTAATATAAATTGCAGTTTCTCAATTACTATAATGACTTTGACTTTTATTAATAATAAATAAATATTGGCTCAATTATTATTCTGAAAAGCAAACAATTGACTTGCAACATCTCTTTGGGAAAAAAGGTATTTGAACGACGTGAATTACTATGGAGGATTTGAGCAGGAAGATCTGAACCAATTATTCAATGCTATGGCAGCCAATTACAAAGCATGGTGCTTAGGGTTTGCTCCGTTGGCTGTGGGCGGGGACATGGAGTCGGTGGCTGTGCAGGAATTTAGTCGAACCTTGTTCAATATGAGGCCAGACATAGCGCTACTCGTGTCACGGACCATTTTTCAAAGCGATATGAGGCAGATTTTGAGCCTCGTCACTGTCCCGTGTCATATCTTACAAGCTAAGAAAGATATGGCGGTTCCGGTGGTGGTCTCAGAGTACCTCCACCAGCATCTCGGGGGTAAGTCCATCGTGGATGTCATTGCAACAGATGGTCATTTACCGCAATTAAGCTCGCCGGATATTGTTATTCCGGTGCTGCTCAAACACATTCGTCTTGATATTGAGGCGAGAACGTAATCAGTGACGTGATTCCATTATTGTTGGCTTAAAAAAACACAGAATCGCCCTCTCTTTTTATTTGTTATGTAAAAGAACAAGGGCAATGGGTGGAATTGGTTGCCTTCAACTGTTTATTTCTTCTCTTATTCTTCGCTCCCACGATAATTTATTCCTTTCTTATTGTTAGCTTTGCCGGGGATTCTAACTAGGCCAAGAAAGGAATCGAAATTGGTACCTTTGTTGTTTGATTAATTTAGGTTTATTATTATTTTGATCAATTTTACTTCTATATATGGCAACTGTCATTAACTATGATTTTTTTTTTTTTGATGCGCTAAACTATGGTTATTATCTTTCTATCCGACTAACTATTAAATTCAAATCTTACTAAAAATTCAAAAACTGTTCATAATTTATTATTCTATAACGTTACATGCTGTCACGCTACGATTATAGCGTATTTAATTTGATTCATTCTCATGAAGCATATATCAAGTGCTTCCTCTATCACAGAATAATTTTAAGAAAACAAAAAGCAATTTAGCAAGATTTTTTGAACTAGAACCATAGAGAAAACTAAGGTTTATATGGGTGTATACAACGTTGAAAATTAATATAAATTAACAGATCATATTTTATTAACTTTTAAGTCCAGGATTATATGTATATAAAAAAAAATCCAGGATTATAATTTAACTCAATCAACCCAACGAAGAATCTATTCTAAAATTCTATCCATTTTCTCTTACATTCTCATTTTTTCTTTGGATGTCTCTTTTGTGAATTTGTTTTGCACTCGATTTTTTATTTTATTTTTTGGGTGTTGATATTCTTGGTTTTATGAGAAATTTGAGTGAGAGTGGAAGAAACGAGTAAATAATGTTTATAGGTCTTACTTTTTTTTTTCATCCCCAACCGAAAAATCTTGTCACTCTTTCATGAAATTTGATTTTGTTTAACCCCTCTAGAATATGAATAATAATTTCTATTTATACTTTGTTCTCTTAAGGTTGTATGAAGAAACTAGCAATATGCTCGCTAAAAGAACTAAGAGGAGTATGGTGATATAAATTCATAAAGCAACAAAGACATAAATCAAGGTACGAGTTTATTATGAAGAGTTTGCATGTAGAGATACAAGAATAACATAAAGAAGATGCATTGAATTTGAGAAAATGTATCAAGAAAAAAATCCCCAAAAATTCGAAGGATGAACGTAAGGTTACGAGGAAGGAATAATATTTATATGGACTAGTGCAGTATCCGTACGATGCACGGAGGAAAAAAATTAAATTTTTTATCGGCATCTTTCGTTGATTAATCGTTAAAAGAAAAAAGTATTTTATGAAAATAAAAAAATAATTATATACTCTATAATTGATTAAATAGTTTATGCAAATAATATTTATATCTATACTAATAAACAATTCATTGAAAATATTCATTTTCTTGAATAATAAAAGATTATGTATTCTTTATTTAAAATCTTGATTAAATATCATTAAATTTGGACAAACTCTAATTTTTTTTAATTATTTTAATGGAATACCATATGATTTTTTTATATCTTTTAAAATTTTAATTGAATATCAATAATTTATTTATCCAAAATCAATTTTTTTTAGAATCTTACTCGAATATACCACCTAAATCAATTTGAGGAATTTGGAAATCACAATCCATTTTGTCACTCTTCTCCTAGCTTTAAGCTGATTGCACCTTCGGTGTGCGTGCATGCCACGCATTACGCGCCTCATCGGTCATTCCAATTCCAGTTCAGGCACCCTTGCTTCCTACTAAAGATTCGAGCTCTTAACCAATGCTTTCTCTACTTTACCCTTGCGCCCTTCAGCCCCAAATTTCTTTTTGATCCCACCCCGTAGAAAGCAGGCCAAAGAGTAACAACACACATACACATCCTCACCGATCTGCCCACCTCGCTTCTCTTCTTCACCCATGGCTGCTGCTACCTCCCAGCGAGCCGAGCTAGCCAGGCTCTGCATCTCCAAGGACTGGTCCAAGGCCATTCGAATCCTCGACTCGCTTGTGTCTCAGTCTGGCGCAATTCAAGACATGTGGTGAGCATACACACTTCTCTGTACCTCTATTCCTCCACAATTCCAATTTTTTTTATTTTTTTTGGTTATTATTATGATTAATTTTCTCTCGGGAATGCTAATTTGATGTGCAATTTTATTCTGGTGCTTTCTTTCAGCAACAGAGCCTTCTGTTACAGCCAATTGGAGTTGCACAAGCACGTAATTAAGGATTGCGACAGAGCGCTTCAGCTTGACCCCATGCTTCTTCAAGCTTACATTCTCAAAGGTCTCTTTGCCTATCAAATTCGTTCGACAGTTTCTGGTTCTTTTTAACTGCTTTTGTATAATAATCTATGCAGTATCAGAGGAAAAGCAATTTAAGCTCTCATAAGAATAACAGAGGTGGTTGATGAGCTAGGTCATGTATGAAACTCATAAAAGCGATTTATTCTGTCATCTAGGTCATGCGCTTTCTGCTTTGGGAAGGAAAGAAGATGCACTATTAGTATGGGAGCAAGGGTATGAAAATGCTCAGCATCAGTCTGCAGATTTGAAGCAGTTGTTAGAACTTGAAGAGCTTTTGATCACAGCAAAACAAGGCAACAATGTATTGCATGAAACCAATGGATTGCCTATGCCACAATCTGAATCAGATTCTCAGAGTAATAGGAACTCGACTGAATCTTGTGAGAATCAAGATAGGTTGAGTGCTCAAGCTGAATTATGTGGCAATACAAGTGTTAAATCTGAGGTCTTGCTGAAGTCTACTGATAAATTTGACTCAATAAATGAATTAAATGGTGAAGATGGAGAGTCTAGTAAATGCGATGGCCAAGTGAACGGAGGCCCTGATGTTATTGATAAATTGAGTTATAATTCTGAATCATGTAATGACTCAAGTGACACTTCAGAATCGTGTGATAAAGTATTTACCAATAGTAGCGAGTCTAGTGAATCAATAGAGGTCGCTGAGATTATTAGAAAGCCAAGTAGTAAGTTTATTTTTTCCCATGAAAAAAATGGTGAATCAAGGAAAAATAAGAAGTTCAGTGCTGCTCGGATTTCAAAGACAAAGTCTATAAGTGTAGATTTTCGGCTCTCACGGGGAATAGCAGAGGTTTGTTTTCAAAACTCCTGTATTGCTGTATTTACGTGTTTAATAGGACATATGATATTGTAGTTGTTTCGCAGGTTAATGAAGGTAAATATGCTCATGCCATATCCATTTTCGACCAGGTGCAATGTTGTCCTCCCTAGTTATACTTACGGTGTCTTCCTTTAATTTACTTATTATCTTATCCTCCTTTTCTCTTTTAATAAATGTCAAACTGTGGCCTTGTCTCCATCGTATATGCAGATACTGAAAGAGGACCCTGCATATCCTGAGGCTTTGATAGGAAGAGGGACATCATATGCGTTCAAGAGAGAACTTGATGCTGCTATAGCTGATTTTACAAAGGTATTTGAACAAACACTATCTGAAAGGGACAGAAAGATATAGATATTTCCTCTATTTGTAAGTAGCTATTATGTTATTTATCTTAGGCTATCCAATTTAATCCATCGGCTGGTGAGGCATGGAAGAGGAGAGGTCAGGCCCGGGCAGCCTTGGGGGAGTTTGTTGAGGTGAGGGTGGCTTACTCTATCTTAGGATCTATCTAACATTTTGTTTGAAGTTTTATGTTAATATCATTTCTGATTGATTTTTTTTTGTTTTGTCTTAATAATTGGCTATTTGTTAAACAAGGCTTTATCTTAAGTGAGGTCCATTGATACACAAAATACACCAATTCTATTACAGAAAATGAAAATCACAGGGAAATTTGGTTTTTATTTATGTGTGAATTTACTTCTTTTAAGTGAAGTTTGGTATGGGTTAGGCTTTACCACGTAATGCTTTTTAGTTGAATTCCTAAAAAGTGAACAGTTTATGTTTTTGGTGCTAAACTAAACTAATGCGGTTGTTAAGAGTTATGTGGTCTTTTGATGTGATAGATTCATCTTATTCCAATATGTAACTCTGGCCTTTGTGATCTTATCATATGTTCCAATTCAAAAGAAGATTGAAATATGAAAAGATTGAAATGCTTGTTGCTTCTTGTGATTACTCACTTGAGTCACTTCTGATTGTATATGATTTTCTTGGACAAATAACAACCCATAAATGTGACTATGACAACTGTTTTCTATATCAGGCTATTGAAGACTTGACTAAGGCATTAGAGTTTGAATCCAACTCGGCAGATATTTTACACGAGAGAGGTATCTTGTCTGACACCGAGTCTTCGTTTTGTAATTTGGATTACTTATTATGCTGGACTAATTAATTATGCCTCCTTTCTCTTTTTTTATTTACTATGATGGGCTGATGCATGTATCTTGTGGTAGCTCCTAGAAGTCTAGACAGAGGGATTTGATTAGTTTTATGTGTACTGAATTTATAGTCTTTATTATTAATATTATCCTGTATTTTGTTTGAGATCTCATTGTTAATTTCAAGTTTAGGGAATTTGATTCTTGTGGTGATAACGTTGAGCTAATGATTTCTTTGTAGATAGTAGCTACTTATATATGTTCAATGTATGTTTTCATAAAATTCAATGCAGGAATTGTCAATTTCAAGTTTAAAGAGTTTGATGCTGCAGTTGAAGACCTTTCAGCTTGTGTGCAGCTAGACAGTGATAATAAGTCGGCTTACACATATTTGGTGGGTCCTAAGTCTTAACATTTGAGTCCTTATTTGTTATGAACCCTTGATGTTGGTTTTCTGTTCTTTTAGATGAAAATGTGTTTTCATTGTTTCGCTGAGCAAACATCATCTTTAACAGGGTTTAGCATTATCCTCAATCGGTGAATATAAGAAAGCTGAGGAAGTACATTTAAAATCACTTCAACTTGATAGAAATTTCCTTGAAGCATGGGCGCACCTGACTCAGGTATCTATCGACCTTACTTGTACTGATAGAGTGTTGGCGCGTTGCAGAAATGAATGTAACATTTAGATGTTGTTAACTTAGCAAGAAGCTTGATTCTGAAAATCCTGGATTATCTGTATGGGTATTATTTTTTGATTTGAAATTGAAATGTGATCAGTTGTATGCTTGTATGCTCTGTGGTCTCTAATCATATCTTTCTTCACTACATTCATCAGTGCCATTTCTGCCTGTATTATAATTCACGAATTAAATTTGAGTTGAAGTTTCCCTTTCATGCCAGCTTAGTAGCTTAGTTCTCATCTACATTTTTGTTTTAGTTACTTAGTGCCTGTCTGGTAAGACTTATTTTTAACTTTTCTTTTCTTTATAAGCAGAATTTTAGCCAAACATGTTTTTACAAAAACTCTTATTATGAAAAGAGTTTTTTGTTATAATGACTAAAAAAAAGCAAAAGCTAAAAGCTCCTCTTTAGCTCCCAAAAGGAGCTTTTTTTAAGATATATACTAGCTTTTTAAAGTTCTCATATTTATTTTTCAGTTTCACCCTTATTCTAAATTTGTATTTACCAATTTTACTCTTTACCCTAATAATCCATCCTAATAACAAATTATTTGATCTTCCCTTCTTCAAAACCCTCGGAACAACTTTATATAATCACTAAACAACTTTTAGCTTTATTGTTTAAGCTTTTTTTCTTAACTTTAGTTTAAAAGTAGCATTTAGCTTAAAAAAATATGTGCCAAACATGCTCTTAGAGGCTTAATTCCAATGTTACAAAAACCGGGTTGACCTGGCCAGGTCGACCTGGAAATTGGTGAACCGGTCATATAAAGCGGTCTGATTTTCATAATGGACTGACCATGTAATGGAATCGGTGCGACTCGGCCGGTTTTTGTAAAAACCGATGACCCGGCCCGGTTCATAAAAAAGAGAGTTTATTCTCATCAATTGATTCTTTTCTTTTTTTCACTCTCACACACAAATGGTTTGTTTTCTTTTGAAATATTTGAGTGATATGTTGCTTATTGAGTTACATAGGTTATGTACCTGCAACACTAATTATTATCTTGATTATGTAATATGCAACGAATTTTGATTTGATTTATAATTAGAGATGTCGTCTACTGAACTTGAAGCACAAGTATCACAAGTATTATATGTTTGATTGATCTTTTGTTGGACAATGATGTGTAATTTATTGTTTTAATATTAAAATATTTGGAATTGGTATCATTTTTTTACTTACCGGGTCATGCAGTTGAACGAGTGACCCAATACCTCGACCGGGTTAATAACGGGGTTGAGTTTAATAACATTGCTTAATTCTATTGTTTTAAAAACCAGACCAGTCATTGAATCGGTGAACACACTGGTTCATGCTTTACTCGTCTGACCTTGGTTGAATCATGGTTGAACTAATGACAATTAAATATTTTATTTATATTATATAGTACATTAAGTGATAAACTAACACAAAGTCATAAGAAGTTGAGTTAGGTAAAATTTTAAATTAGAATAAATGGACCATATTATATGTCTTGCAAGATAAAAATCAAGAACAAAAGGCTAAATAATAGAAATTCATATGTGCATCTTTATTTGTCTCAAAAAGTGTTTTTGAATGAATAAAAATATATAAAAAATAAAAACATTATTTATAGTTTTTATTATCAGTTATTGGCTTAAAACTCTTCTTTATGATGATTTTTGTTACTATCCTTGTTCTAAATGAGTGGTGTTGGCAGCTCATCAAGATCTATCAGTCTTTGGCTTATAGATATTAAGTATGCTATGGAACACCTTTTTTTCCTTTTTATTTTCAGTTATACGCTTAGAGGCTAGAGCTACTATGTTAGATGATTTTGGTTGCTAGTTTTATTCTGAATGTGAGGTTTTTGCCAGTTCTATCAAGACTTATCTAATCCAACAAAAGCTCAGGAATGTCTAAATCAGGTGCTGCAAATTGATGGGAGGTAATTGTCGTGAATGAAACAGTATTACACTATCATTTTTTTAGCTGATTCATCACACTTGATGTACTTTGTGCCCGTTAGCTCTTTATCTGAGGCTGATTGCTTTTGAGTTTTGATGTTAGGTTTGCAAGAGCTTATCATTTGCGTGGCCTTTTATTCCATGCAATGGGAGAGCATAGGTATTAATTCAATCATAACTGCTGACTAATTGGATATTTATTTGACGTTACTGTTTCTTGTTGCATGCTTTCAATAGTCTTGATGATTGGGTCCATGAATACAAGTAACGAAAACATTGAGATATAGTGGCATTGAATTATAATGGTGATAGGGTTTACCCGCTATCGAAGAGAAGAAAGTAGAAGAAGGTGAGAAAGAAGAGGAATCAGAGATGAGAGAAAGAAAACTGAACAGTTCTGTTATTATTTTGATAATCGACATCTGTACACAAAGGGTCCTTTTAATACCACACGTCTCACTTATTCTATTACACGTCACACTTGACTATGTCTCAAAACTATGTGTCATATTACATCTATTACACTTTCCTTTATCTACAATGCATCTCTAAATCTCAGTGGCTTTCTCCTTTCTCTAATAGCTCTTCTTTCAGCTATGCTTGGTTCCCTACACATATTTGTATCTTCAATGTTCCTCTCCTCTGTTTCTGCTGCTCTTGTACTGTCATAGTCATCATTAGTTGTGGCCATCGTATCAATACTTCCACCATTGAAAACAACCTTGTCCTCAAGGTTGAAGGTAGGAAACTGTTGTTGGAACTCTTCCACACTCTCCCAGGTAGCTTGCTCACTAGGCATTCCCTCCCACTGGATTAAAATTTCAGCAGTGCCATCATTTTTCTGTCAGGTATCCAGAATTTGGTTGGGTTGCATGACTGGTAAACCACCCGTAAATATTTCGGGTAAAGGAAATGGACGGGTATTTTGGTCTCCTTGAAAGGGTTTGAGGAGTGACACATGGAAGGTATGATGGATAGGTAATGTAAGTTTGTAAGCAACCTTCCCAACTTTTTTTTCAATGGGAAATGGTCCAAAGTATCTGTAGTTCAGCTTGTTCGAAAGACGGCCAGCAAGTGATTGTTCTCTATATGGATGGAGACGTACTCAAACTAAGGTACCTGGCTGGTAATGAACATCTCTCCTATGGCTGTCTGCTTGTTGTTTCATCATTTGCTGAGCCCTTTGTAAATTGCTTTTCAACTGCTGCAGTAATGTCTGTCTATCAGTCAGTAAGGAGTCCACTGCTGGTGTTGTAGCAGTAGTAGGGATATAATCCAAAACTCCAGGAGGTTCACGGCCGTAGACAACTTTGAATGGTGACATGTTGGTTGATGAATGAGAGGCATTATTGTAGCATAGTTCTGCCCATGGCAGCAGCTTGGACCAGGTTTTAGGAGAATCCGATACAAAGCATTTTTAAAATTGTTCCAGTACTCGATTGACTACTTCCGATTGACCATCCGATTGTGGATGATATGCAGTAGATCTTCTCAAACTAGTTCCACTCAACTCAAACAATTCTGTCCAGAATTTGCTGAGGAATATAGGGTCTCTATCTAAAAAGAGAGACTTTGAAATGCCATGGAGTTTACAAACCATATCTGTAAAAAGATTGGCCACCTTGACAGCATTGAATTTTTTTGGTAAGGATCCAAAGTGTGCCATCTTGGAGAGCCTATCCACAACTACCAAGATTGCTGTATGTCCATGGGAGTTAGAAAGTCCAATGATGAAATCCATAGAGAGGTCTTCCCATACTCTTTCGGGTATCAGAATGGGTTGGAGGAGACCTGCAGGCTTTTGTGTGGGAATCTTGGCTTGTTGACACACAAGGCAAGAGTGAATAAATTTCTTAACATCCTTTTGCATGCCATTCCAGAAAAAGCTGGTAGAGACCCGAGCCACTGTCTTCTGAATGCCTAAATGACCTCCAGTTAGTGTGGAGTGACATTCCTGCAGAATTTTATGAATCAAGGGTGAATGAGGATCAAGAAGTAACTTTCCTTTTTTTAATAATAACCCATCTCTGATCTCTAAACCATGGTCTACAGTTTGAGAATTGGATAACAATTGCTGCTGTTGCTTGAAAAATTCAGAATGTAAATTCTCTTCTCTTAACTCATCTAAAAGGACAAATTGGTGTATGGAGAGTGCCATAAAGCTCATGATTTCAGGCTGTCTGGAGAGGGCATCAGCTGCTCTATTTTCCTTGCCTGGTTTGTACACTATGGAGTATTGGAATCCCAAGAGCTTAGTGAGATAATACTGCTGCTCTGGAGTCTGAATTACTTGGTCCAATAGAGCTTTTAAACTTTTCTGATCTGTCCTAATAAGAAACCTCCTTCCCAACAAATACTGGCGCCATTTCTTCACTGCCTCTGTGATGGCATATAGTTCCCTGACATATGCTGCTGCCCTCTGCATTTTCAAAGACAACTTCTTGCTAAAATAAGCAAGTGGATGGTCATTTTGAAGAAGGACAGCACCCACACCCAGGTCAGATGCATCAGTCTCAATAATGAAGTCTTGATTGAAATTTGGCAAGGCCAACACTGGAGCAGAAACCATGGCTGCCTTGAGAGCTTCAAATGCTGTTTGAGCAGTTGTGGACCAGAGAAATGCATCATGTTTAAGCAAATCTGTTAAAGGGGCTGCAATGTTTGCATATCCTTGAACAAATTTCCTGTAATAGCCTGTGAGGCCAAGTATTCCTCGGAGTTGTTTGACATTTCTGGGTACTGGCCATTCTAGGATGGCTTTACTATTCTGATCCATGCTCATACCCTTGTCAGATACAATATGACCCAAATATTCAACCTCCCTTTGAGCAAAAGAACATTTGCTCTTTTTGATAAAGAATTGGTGAGTTTGCAAAGTAACTAAGACCTGTTGTAAATGCTGTATATGCAGATCCATAGAGGCACTATACACAAGTATCAACATCAACATCAACATCAACAACATCTTTATCCCAAATTAATTGGGGTCGGTGGTAGATGAACCCACATGAAAGATACAAAACGGTTGAAAAAAAGTAAAAAAGCAAAAAATAAATAAATAAATAAAAATAAACAAATAAAATAAAAAATAAAAAATAAAATAAAATAAAATAAAAATATATGTATATATAAATAAATAAAAGTAAAAAAGAAAGGGACAAGAAGAAGTGGGGGAAATGAAGGGGAAAAGGACTAAAAAGGGATCATCTGGAACATAGGAATAACAGCAGGTCTAACCTTCCACCATACTTATAGCTTTTCTCCATTCCGTTCTAAGACATACTGTCCGCCAATCTATATCGCACTCCATTAAATCTTGTTTTACTACTTTCCCCCAAGTAAGCTTCGGCCTACCTCTGCCTCTTTTTGTGTTTAGCTCTTGGTAACAAACTTCTGTTCTTACAGGAGCATCCATGGGTCTTCTCATCACGTGCCCAAACCACCTCAATCTATGTTCTCTCATCTTCTCGGCTACCGGTACTACTCCGACCTTTCGTCGAATATCTTCATTTCTTATCTTATCCATCCTTGTGTAACCACACATCCACCTTAACATCCTCATCTCTGCTACTCCCATCTTATGCTCATGTTGCCTGTGTGCTGGCCAGCATTCCGCTCCATATAGCATTGCCGGTCTTACTGCCGTTTTATAGAATTTTCCTTTTAACTTCAGGGGGATTTTGCGGTCACACAAAAATGCAGATGCACTGCGCCATTTCATCCACCCTGCTCTGATTCTGTGATTTACATCCTCATCAATCTCTCCACCGTTTTGTAAAATGGAGCCCAAATATTTAAAAGCATCTTTTTTGGGTACCTCTTGACCATTTAAATGCACAGGTTCTTGATCCTCATCTCGTACTAGAGAAAACTCACACTTCATATACTCAGTCTTGCTTCGACTTAATGTGAATCCTCTGGATTCCAATGTGCTTCTCCACAATTCAAGTTTTCTATTAACACCCTCCTTGCTCTCATCAATAAGCACAATATCGTCTGCAAAAAGCATACACCATGGCACTTCCTCTTGAATATCTTTTGTTAGTTCATCCATAACTAAGGCAAAGAGGTAAGGACATAGAGCCGACCCTTGGTGTACACCTACCGTGATAGGAAAATAACTTGATGATCCGTTACAAGCTTTTACACATGTAGTAGCCCCATCATACATATCCTTGATTGCCTTTACATACTTTAATGGAACCTTTTTCTTCTCCAGGACCCACCATAAAACTTTCCTTGGAACCCTATCGTATGCTTTCTCAAGGTCTATGAACACCATATGCAAGTCCTTCTTCTTTTCTCGGTATCTTTCCATTAGTTATCGCATCAAGAAAATGGCTTCCATGGTACATCTTCCTGGCATAAATCCAAATTGATTTACAGAAACCTTGGTATCTCTCCTCAAGCGATGTTCAATAACCCTCTCCCACAACTTCATAGAATGGCTCATTAGCTTAATGCCTCTATAGTTTGAACAATTCTGTATATCTCCCTTGTTTTTGTAGATAGGCACAATCATACTTTTCCTCCATACATCAGGCATCTTATTCGTCTGGAGAATCTTATTAAAAAGATTGGTCAACCATTTTATTGCCACATCCCCCAGGCCTCTCCACACTTCAATAGGGACACCATCAGGCCCCAAGGCTTTATTAGTCTTCATCCTCTTTAAAGCCTCCTTAACTTCATGTGTATTAATTCTGCGTACAAATCTTCTATTCATATCATCATACGCGTCCTCTAAGTCCACCTCGCTTGTATCTCCATCCCCATTAAACAGCTTGTTGAAGTATTTCAACCATCTTTCATTTACATCTTCATCTCTCACCAGAAGTTTTTGATTTTCATCCTTGATGCATCTAACTTGGGTGAGGTCTTTACTTTTCTTATTCCTTATCTTTGCAAGTTTATAAATACCTCTTTCACCATCCTTGCTCCCAAGATTTTTATACAACTCGTCGAAAACCTTGCCTCTAGCTTCTCGCATTGCTTTCTTTGTATTTTTTCTCGCCAATCTAAACTTTTGCAGGTTCTCTTCATTGGGACTTTTATGCAAAGATCTAAAGCACTCCTTCTTATCTTTAATTGCCTCTTGCACCTCTCCATTCCACCACCATGTTTCCTTTGTATGAAATCTATTTCCTTTGCTTTCTCCCAACACCCTCCTTCCCAAATTTTGAATACACTTAGCCATCTCATTCCATATTGCATTTACTCCTCCATCAAACTCCCAAGGTCCTTCGTGCAACATTCTATCATTGAACTCTCTCTCTTTTCCCTCCTTAAGCTTCCACCACCTTATCCTTGGATTCTGAGCCCTCTTCTTCATTGTACGAACTTTGTTGAACCGAACATCCAAGACTACCAGCTTATGTTGCGTAGCGACACACTCTCCAGGGTAGACCTTACATTCGACACAAGAAGTTCTATCTTCTCTTCTAGCCAGAAAGAAATCAATCTGACTACGATTATGGCCACTATGATAAGTGATTAGGTGTGACTCCTTTTTTTGAAAAAAGGTGTTCACTAACATCAAATCGTAGGCTAGTGCAACATTCAAGATATCTTCTCCAGTCTCGTTTCTCGTCCCATAGCCAAAACCTCCATGGATTCTATCAAAACCTCCATTGCTTTTACCAACATGACCATTTAGATCTCCTCCTACGAAAATCTTCTCCTCTCGAGGTATTCCCCTCAAAACCTCCTCCAAGTCTTCCCAAAATTGACTTTTATCAGTTGGTTGCAATCCAATTTGGGGTGCATACACCCTGAGGATGTTCAGGATTAAGTCACCCACAACAAGCTTAACCAGAATAATCCTGTCGCCTTTCCTTTTGACTTCCACAACTTTATCTCTGAAACTTTTATCAATCATAATTCCAACACCATTTCGACTCTTGTTCGTACCTGTGTACCATAACTTGAAACCAGTTCCATCCACTTCCTTGGCCTTTTCTCCAGCCCACTTAGTTTCTTGCAAACAAACAATATTCACTTTCCTTCTAGCAAAAACATCTGCCAACTCCCTCAATTTACCCGTTAAGGTTCCTATGTTCCAGCTTCCCAATCTCATCCTTAACCCCTGGGCTGTGCTTGCCAACCACGCTCGCCCATCTGCGTGTTGGGACCCTGGCATACTTCTCACCAAATCTGGGTGAAGACCTGGCGCCTTGCCTTGGGGAAAGGACCCTAGCCCACTTTTCACTACACCCCGGGCCCGATGCAGAGCCTTGCCTTGTGGCAAGGACCCTAGCCCATTTTTCGCTACACCCGGGGCCCGATGCAACGCGTCGCTATGAAGGGTACGCCCCAACGAAAAATCATATAGGTTCATCACATAAAAATATAGCTGTTTTTTACGGCCGGTTCGCAACACCTGACGCCAACCCTCCTCCTTTATCCTGGCTTGGGACAGGCCATGCACTATACACAAGTATGTCATAAAAAAAAACAGCAACAAACTTGCGCAAATAAGGCTGAAGGATGTGGTTCATGGTGGCTTGAAATGTAGAAGGGGCATTGGTTAGCCCAAAAGGCATAACCAAGAACTCATAATGGCCTTGGTGAGTCCTAAAGGCTGTTTTATGGGTGTCATCTGGTTTAAGGAGGATTTGGTGATAGCCAGCTCTCAAATCTAATTTAGAAAAAATTTGGGAGCCTCCCAACTCATCCATTAACTCATCAACAGTTGGAATGGGAAATCTGTCTTTGATAGTAATGCTATTAAGTGTCCTATAGTCAATACAAAATCTCCATGTGCCATCTTTTTTTTTAACTAAAAGCACAGGAGATGAAAAGGGACTACTACTATGTTTAATAAATCCCGAATCAAGCATTTGGGCAATTTGTTTTTCAATTTCACTTTTTTGAAAGTGTGGGTATCTATATGGCCTAACATTTACAGGTAGGGTGTTGGGTTCAAGATGAATTTCATGGTCTATATGTCTGTGTGGGGGTAAGTCTGTATGTTCATGGAATAGTGCATCAAATGCTACTAAAAGTGTTTGTACCTGTGGTATGGGAGCCTCTATGGGAGAATCAGAAACAGTGTCCAGCATCTCCAATTGAAACAAGGAAGCCACTTGCCCTGTCTGGTGTATTTTTCGAAACTGATTGAGAGAAATGGGGCCTGTATGAGACTCTCCTTTAAGCTTGATAATTTCTTTGTTCCACTTGAACTCCATAGTAAGCTTAGTATAATCCAATGTGACTGGTCCAAGGACTTGCAGCCATTGAACACCAAGGACCATATCAGCTCCCTGGATTGGTAAGATGTAGAAATCCACCAAAAAAATGTGTTGTTGTATTTGTACAGGTACTGCTGAACAGAAGCCTTGACACTGGAATGTTTGACCATTTCCCACCATTACTTCGAATTGCTTTTCATGAGTAACAGATAAAGACAGTGTCGAAACCAGTTTGGGTTGGATGAAATTATGTGTGCTTCCTCCATCCACCAACAATGAGAATTCAGATTTACCATTATGGCTTGTGAATCTCAAAGTTTGAGGAACAATCACACTTGCTAACGCATGGAAACTGATTTGAGGAGGGTGTGTAGCATGCTCATTCATATCACTTCCTGGTAAGGAATTGGAAGAATCAGCTACGGAATTAATTTCCTCTATTTCCTCTTCATCTGGCACAATCAGTATATGGACAAAGGCCTTGCATTTATGACCAAAAAAATACTTGTCTCCACAATGGAAACATAAGTTTTTTTCTCTGCGTTCACGGATTTGGCTTTGTGTTAGCCGCTTAGTATTGGGTTGGGGTGTATTGGTATTAGCAACTGGGTAATTAGACTTGGTGGTGTTTATGTGCTGTGGTGTTTTGGAAGGGTACGGGGGTGTGGGTAACAAAGGAGGGTAAGAAGAGTGTAATTTTGGTGGGTTAGTTTTCAAGAGTAACTTGGATTCTTGAATTTTTGCTATGGACATGGCACGGGTTAAGGACGTTGGTCGAAAAGACGAAACATCATGGATTATGTCAGATTTCAGTCCCGAAATGAAGCAACTGATGAGAAAAGATTCAGATAATCCATCTACCTTATTGGAAAGTGTCTCAAATTGCTCCTGATATTCCATCACTGTGCCGGTTTGCACCAATTTCGTCAGTTTGCCCTGATAATCCTCCATCTCCGAAGGCCCAAATCTGGTTTGTAAAGCTTTACAAAACCCAGTCCAAGAAACAACTACCGTGTTCTTGTTCACCCACTGAAACCAGGCTAATGCCTTTCCCTCAAAATAAAATGTTGCGATCTTCAATCTTTGATCTTCAGCCATATCATAGAAATCGAAAAATTGATTGATTTTGTAGATCCAACCTTGTGGGTCACGTAATCCATCGTAACGTGACACCTTGAGTCGTAGGTTCTTGGCCGCGGCATGATCTCGTGAACAAGCAGAATGAGAACTGGCAGTACCGTGCGTGGTTTGATGCTCCCTGTAACTATCAAAAATCACATCCAATTTGCACGTGAGTTCTTGAAAACGCTTGTTCATCTGCTCCTTCAAAACATCCACTTCGGCTTGTGTGTTCTCCAAACGATCATCCATGGAACGAGTGTGTTTTCCGGTGCCATAGTTCGGTGATGAAAGCACCAATTGATAGGGTTTACCCGCTATCGAAGAGAAGAAAGTAGAAGAAGGTGAGAAAGAAGAGGAATCAGAGATGAGAGAAAGAAAACTGAACAGTTCTGTTATTATTTTGATAATCGACATCTGTACACAAAGGGTCCTTTTAATACCACATGTCTCACTTATTCTATTACACGTCACACTTGACTATGTCTCAAAACTATGTGTCATATTACATCTATTACACTTTCCTTTATCTACAATGCATCTCTAAATCTCAGTGGCTTTCTCCTTTCTCTAATAGCTCTTCTTTCAGCTATGCTTGGTTCCCTACACATATTTGTATCTTCAATGTTCCTCTCCTCTGTTTCTGCTGCTCTTGTACTGTCATAGTCATCATTAGTTGTGGCCATCGTATCAAATGGTTTGTTGATAGCTTTGAATTTATAATAGCAACAACACATTCAAGTAAATTGCTTTAACATATTTCATACCGAGGATCAGTGTTGAAATGTTTTGGTTTGGAACTTTATGTTCTACTACTAGATTTTATTTCTGACTTAAATCGGGTTTGACTGTAACAGGAAGGCTATCAGGGATTTGACAATGGGGTTGAGCATTGATGGTGCCAACATTGAGTGTTTATATTTACGAGCTTCATGCTACCATGCTGTTGGACAATACAGAGAGGCGGTATGGTTTTGATTTTAGTTTTTGGGGGAAATGCTGGTTCACATTTGTCCGTCTAAAACTTTATTTAATGGTCACAGGTCAAGGATTACGATGCTGCACTGGATTTGGAATTGGACTCTATGGATAAGTTTGTGCTCCAGTGCCTTGCCTTTTATCAGGTTTGTTATACTGTGAAATAGTATATTTATACCACACCTGATTTTTTTTTTCCTTGATAGTATTCTATTTATCAAGAACAACATGAGTACATTTCCTTTACCGTGAAATAATCTACTGACGAAGTGGAGAGCATGGGGTAGTAAATTTTCAAGGGCAGCATTAGATTAGAGCAAGAGAGATTATAGCCTTCCAATATAAAATTGAGAGCTTGCTGATGTGAACATGCAAAATTCTGTTGGCATTTTACAATATGGTTTTGTTCTCTTCTGCTCTTGTTCTTCATATTGCTTAGTTTAATAATCATGTATCTCTTGACTGAGAAACACTTGCAGGATTTGCCTTCCTCTGATTATACTATATTGACTACTTATGTACAACCTTTTAGGCAATATGAAAATATACTGATGGACTTGTATGTATTGGTGTAATGACAGTTAACATGGTCCTTTTTAGTTTTATGCATTAGGAAATTATTTCTATGATGTGCTTCAAACTCTTTTCTTCTTTTGCAGAAAGAGATTGCTCTTTACACAGCCTCAAAGTTTAACAGTGAGTTTTGCTGGTTTGATATTGACGGGGATATTGATCCACTTTTTAAGGTATAAGTTATTCCACCCTTCTTTGGTATCTAATGTGAACTGAACAATTAGAAATCATGGTAGCATTGCCATGCTGTCTGAATTTCAGAAATTCATAGCTCTTGCTTGTTTGCATTGTAACTAAGTTGCTTTGGGGGTTCCAGAAGCTTAAGAAACTTTTGTTTTTGAAACTTCTATGTTGGAGCTGTGTTTTGTAATGCCTGGATTCGCATCTCTGTGATGTTTTTATGTGTCCTAATTATATTCAGGAGTACTGGTGCAAGAGATTGCATCCAAAGAATGTATGTGAGAAGGTTTACAGGCAACCTCCTTTGCGTGAGTCTTTAAGGAAGGGAAAGCTTAGAAAGCAAGAGTTAGCTCTTACAAAGCAGAAGGCTTCTCTTATACAGGCTGCAGACTCCATTGGCAAGAAAATCCAGTATGATTGTCCTGGTTTCCTACCTAATAGACGTCAGGTAAAGTTATTTTATATGTTAATTGTTAAGAGAGAGAGAGAGAGAAAAGTGTTATATATGTTGTTAAGAGTGTTAGTGTTAATAGTGTAGAAGTCCCACATTGAGTGTGTCTCTTTGTATTCTTCAATTGGTTTGCTATATAATAGCACCAATGTTGTGTAGTTTAATACAACAAGGATTACTATCATTTCCTCTTGTATCTATGATATTTAACATGGTATCTAGAGCCTAACAAGAGGAATCTTAATCCGTTTAACTTAGTTCTATTTTCCATAATTTCAATATGGTTATAGAGAGATATCACCCTCCTTGAGGGATTCCCGTTGATATTTCTTTTTCGGGTTTTTCTTAGTATGCTCTATGACTGCAGCTTAGACTGATCTGTCACATCAGAAAAGAATGATCCTTGGGAAGTTGTTGGGTTGACCACCGTTGTCGTTGACCGACCACCGTTGACCGCGTCGTCCACCGTTGACAGCCGTCTCCGGCGACTTTTCCGATGACTTTCCGGCGACTTTTTCGGCGATCCACCACCGTCTCCGATGACTTTTCCGACGACCCACCGCCGTCTCCGGCGACTTTTCCGATTCTGCGAAGCTTTGTTTTTCTTTAATCTTCTTTCTTCCCAAGATGGAGTATTTATACTATTCATCATCCATCTTGAGGGGGAGCACTGTCCAAGTTGCTGATGTTGTCTCCGCTGATGTTAATTCTGACACCGAAGTTCCTCTTGAGAGGGAGCACTGTCCATGTTGCTGATGGTCATTCCAGCACAATTGTCTTTGCCGATGATAATTCCGGCACTGTTTAAAAGTTCCTCTTGAGGGGGAGCACTGTCCATGTTGCTGATGGTCATTCCAGAACAATTGTCTTTGCCGATGATAATTCCGGCACAGTTTAGAAGTTCCTCTTGAGGGGGAGCACTGTCCATGTTGCTGATGGTCATTCCAGCACAATTGGCTTTGCCGATGATAATTCCGGCACTGTTTAGAAGTTCCTCTTGATGGGGAGCACCGTCCATGTTGCTGATGGTCATTCCAGCACAATTGTCTTTGCCGATGATCATTCCGGCATCTTTCATGTTGATGTTCATTTCGACGCCATTTTTAGCACGTTGTTGATTTTTGGTTTCTCATTTAGGAGATTTATTTTGATGTTATGTTACTTGGTCTTTCTTGTAATAAGCTTGTAGCATAGTCAAGGGGAAACCACGGCTGCTCACCAACTGTTAAATGAAATGTCTGAGAGGGATCTTGATGCTGATGTCCTAGTCAGCTCAGTTGTCTTGCCGATGATGATTCTGGCACCATCCATGCTCTGATGTCCATTCCAGCACTGTCTCTTTATCAGCTCTTCAGACTGATGGTCATTCCAGTTGATTTGTTGTACTTGGTCATTTCATTTCGTTGATGTAGCATTGTTGTTTTTGGTTCCTAATGGGAGTATTATTTATGTATCAAACTTGTAGCATATGATCTATATGCTACAGCTCGAGGGGGAGTGTTAAGAGTGTTAGTGTTAATAGTGTAGAAGTCCCACATTGAGTGTGTCTCTTTGTATTCTTCAATTGGTTTGCTATATAATAGCACCAATGTTGTGTAGTTTAATACAACAAGGATTACTATCATTTCCTCTTGTATCTATGATATTTAACATATGTAATATAAAATATAAAACCCTTTATTTGCCTTCACCTAAAAGCTTAAGCTTTTTGGGAGAGTTCGTTGCTTGACAGAGAGGCATATGCTGAAATGCACGGGTCAAATTACAGCAGAGTCAATTATATAGATTAAGATTAAAAGTAATAAATCCAAAGATCATAGGTATCATGATTATGGTTAGCCTACACAATGATGTAGACACTGTTTACATACTTTCCAACATTAATATCTCTATATTTGTGGCTTATTAATCATTTTGTTTTCCTTTGGTTTCTGTTAGAATATATTAAATATGATTAGATATGATTAGTCTATAATTATGCTGATTAGTCTGTAATTATGCTGATTGTATTAGGTCTGGGCCTTTCCCATTAGAGTCTCTATATATTGTAACTCTCTGAATTAGATCAATATACAACATATTATTTTATATTCAAGTTGGTATCATAGCTCTTTCGCTCTGGGGACCCTCGCTTCCGCTTAGATATCTTGTTTTCGCTTTAAAACCTAAGCCCACTGCTTAGGAGTCATCTTTTCTTTGCCGTGCGTCCTTCCGGCAAGACATCAAGGACTGTAAGTCCCTTCCGAGCAATTTCCGAACGCATCAGCACCTCCGACGGTCACCGGAACCACCGTCAGCCACTGTTCAGGCCGCCAGAGCACTTTTCCAGTGAGTTTTCAACTAGGTCAGAATGCGATCAGCATCCTCTCTTCCCAGCGACCACCTCTGTGGAAGTCCGGCCACCATCGGAGTTGCAACGCGCCTTCACGCGCCGTTCCTGTCCTCTGCGCGTGGGCTTCACGCGCCACCTTCTGCCGGCGCGTGAGCCCTTTTCCGGCGGCTTTTTCCGACCGGTCTTGGACAGAGAAGCTTGCCTTCTCCTTCTCTTTCCAGATCTGTGCTTGATTTGTTGTGGGTCTCACTTTAGGCGAGTGGTTCTCCTTGATTGGATATCGTTTGCCTTCGTTTACGGCTTTTATATTTTCTTTAAATGGCAGCAGCTTCTTTTGATCCCTCAGAGGATTCAGCAGTATCTATTGGTTCTCCTTGGGACACTTCTCTTGTTGCTAATATAGCTCAGTCAGACAATGCATCATTTGATTCAGGGTCTCTCTTACCTGCGGACTATGCTGCACTCCAAACTCTTCTCAGGAAGGCTTCTCCTCAGTCTCAGCCATATACTGGTAATCCCGTTGCTTGTGTTTCTCATTCTACATCACTTGGCACTTGGATATTTGACTCAGGTGCTACCGATCATCTTTGTGGTAATAAGGAACTCTTTACATCTCTTACTTTTTCTGATCATTTACCTTCTTTTACCCTTGCGGATGGAACCAAAGCCCCAGTTCGTGGCATTGGACAAGCTCGTCCGACCTCTACCTTGGCCTTGACATCTGTTTATTACATTCCTGGCATTCCTTATAACTTAATTTCTATTAGTAAGTTGATTCACTCCCTCACTTGCACCATTACTTTCTCTAACCATTCTGTTTCTGTGCAGGATCCGGATACAGGGAAAATTATTGGGGTGGGTCGTGAGTCACGGGGGCTTTACTATCTGGATGTGCCTCGTCCTTCAGTGGCCTGCTCTCTCACAGAATCTCCACAACTTATTCACAGTCGCCTTGGCCATCCAAGTCTTTGAAAGTTGCAGAAAATGGTTCCTCTTTTATCCGGTCTTCAGTCTTTAGATTGTGTGTCATGTCAACAAGGGAAGCATACACGCTCCTCTTTTGCCAGTCGAGTCAATAAACGAGTTGATGCCCTTTTCTCTCTTGTTCATTCAGATATCTGGGGTCCAAGTCGTACCTTGTCTGTTTTAGGTTTTCGGTATTTCGTTACCTTTATTGATGATTTTTCCCGTTGCACTTGGATCTATTTAATGAAAAATCGTTCCGAGTTATTTTCCATTTATAAGAAGTTTTCTACTGAGATTCATACTCAATTTGGTGTTTCTATTCGTATTCTACGTAGTGATAATGCTAAGGAATATGTTTCTATTGATTTTCCTAATTTCTTGGCCACACAAGGTACTTTACATCAAACTACTTGTCCTCACACTCCACAACAAAATGGGGTGGCTGAACGTAAAAACAGACATCTCATTGAAACTGCCCGTACCCTTCTTATTCATATGCAGGTTCCCCTTCACTTCTGGGCAGATGCTGTACTCATCTCTTGTTTTCTCATCAATCGCATGCCTTCTTCTGTGCTCAACAATGACATTCCTCATAATCTGTTGCTTCCAGATGTTCCTCTTTATCCTCTAACTCCACATGTCTTTTGTAACGCCTGGCAACCTGCAAGAATCAACGACTATCTCCACACACTAACACGAGACTTTTCAGCGTGCTTTGTCCTCACTCGCACACTTCCCGGGAAAACTTCCCAGGAGGTCACCCATCCCTGAATTGCTCCAAGTCAAGCACGCTTAACTGTGGAGTTCTTCCGATCAGGGCTACCGAAAAGTAGATGCATCTTGTTAGTATAGGTAGTACCAATTAATTCTTATAAGCCATTCCCAGCTGTACCGTCCCATACCAGCACAGTCTCTGGAATCCCTCTCTTTCGGGTGTTGATTCGATTCATTCATGTACCCCCGTCCCTAGAAGCCTGCCAGGAGCCGCTCCTTGTCCGTGCCTTTGCGCACCGGCGATCACTCCCCGCCCTCGTCAGCGCCCGGGATGTTACATCTTTGGTTGTACTTGTTTTGTTCATGATCTCACTCCTGGTAAGGATAAGTTAACATCCAAAGCCTTTCAGTGTATCTTTCTTGGTTATTCTCGTCTTCAAAAAGGTTATCGTTGTTATTCTCCCGATCTTAAGCGTTACTTAGTTTCCGCTGATGTCACTTTTCTTGATCAACAACCCTTTAATTCTATCTCATCTCAGTTGTCACAGGTTGATCATGTTCTTCCTGTCCTTTTTCTTGACTTGTCTTTACCAGCTGCAGGTACTTCTATTCCAGATAAGCAACCTATTGCTTCAATACCTGCGGACCGTCCACTTCTCACTTATCAGCGTCGTAAAACTGTGCCTCCTGTCGACTCGACCCTTGCTGACTCATTGCCCCCCGCAGTTGATTCTTCCCTTCCGGATCCTTCACCAGAGGCTCTTCCTATTGCTCAAAGAAAAGGTACACGTACTACTCGTAACCCTTATCCTCTTTATACCTTTTTGAGCTATGACCGTCTTTCTTCACCTCATTTCACCTTTGTTTCTAGTCTTTCTTCTATTTCTATTCCTAAGATCACAGGTGAAGCACTTTCCCATCCAGGGTGGCGCCAAGCGATGCTTGATGAAATGACTGCACTTCATTCCAATGACACTTGGGACCT